GCCGCGCGCGCGCCCTTCCCCCCCCCCCCTCCCCCTCCTCTCATTCTCCTCCTCCTCCTCCTCCTCCTCCTCTTCATCCCCCTCCCCCTCCCACTCCCCCCTCCTCGTCCTCATCCTCCTCCTCCACCTCCTCCTCCTCCTCCCCCTCCTCTTCCCCCTCCCCTTCCCCCTCCCCCTCCCCCCTCCCCCTCCCCCTCCTCCTCCTCCTCCTCCTCCTTCTCCTCCTCCTCCTCCTCCTCCTTCTCTTCCTCCTCCTCCTCCTCTTCATCCTCCTCCTCCTCCTCCTCCCTCCCCCTCATCCTCCTGCTGCTGCTGCTCCTCCTCCTCTTCCTCCCCCTGCCCCTTTCCCTTCCCCTCCTCCGCCTTCTCCTCCTTCACCTCCTCCTCCTCCTCCTCCTCCTCCTCCTTCTTTATCTTTTCCACAAGTGCACTTTACGAATGCAGCTCTCCACTCTCATGTGATTCCGTCCTTGAGATGTCCCGCCCTCTGCGCGTATGTTAGTTCACACAGGACTGGGCAACAAACAATTCTGTTTGTTTTTCCATTATGCGCTTGTTTTCGGTGTTTTCGAATGGTGCTCCCGCTGCAGCGTGGGCCTCGTTTTCGGATCGGCGCTTTGCTCCCGTCGTTGAGAATGGCGATCCGGCCCCAGCGCGGGCCACCTTTCTGCATCCAAGTACTTCCCCATCATTGTCGTCTCTCTCCCTTCCCATCCTCCGCCTGCTCATCCCGCTCCTTTCACTCTCGTTCCTGCTGCTGCTGTTTGTCCCTCGTCCTCCTCCTTTCTCCTCCTTTTCTTCCTCTTTCTCAGCTCCCCCTGTCCGATTGCGGATAACACGATGAGGTTTGGGAGCTCCACGCGTCCGCGGATAGAGAAAGAGTCAGCGCAATGTGAAGGGATGGGTGGTAGGGGTAGGATGCTCACATGGCGCGAGCGCGCCTAGCTTGTCCCCCTCCTCCTCCTCCTCCTCCTCTTCTTCCTCCTCCTCCTTCTCCCCCTCCTGCTCCAATGCTGAGTGCGGGCTCCAACGCTGAGTGCCGCATTGGCCCCCTCCCCGAGACCGACCGTACAGACGCGGAGGCGGCCCTTCTTTGACGTAGGGCAAGGAGAGCTTTGGCAGAGTACATCCAAGCTGATCCTTGGACCTCGTGCCGCCCTGAGGCCCCGATCTGACCTCGGCTCCCCGTTCTGCCCAGGGCCCTCCGCTCGAGCGCCCACGAGTGGCGCAAGGTCGGATCGAAGTATTTCTGCAGGCAGGGTTCCCAGCTCGAGACTCGGGGCTGAACTTTTGCAGGGGCCCTCACCTGTTGCCACCCCCGCCTTGTCGGCCTCGGTGTTTACCCCCCTCAGCGGCCCACATATGGTTGCCGGCACACCTGCTGCACGCGTCCCACCGACTGCAGCTTTAGGGCCGCTGCGGCTTCACGCTTTGTTTTGTTTGTGGCAAGGCGGCCACCTTGGAGCCATTTTGGCTCGTTGGCAGGTGCCCGCCCTCCCCGAAAGGTGCCCAGACCCTGGCAGGAATGCAGTGTGGTCTGTATCCTAATGTGGATGGCCCACCTAAGCACATGGTGGAGGCCGAGATTGCCAGGTTCGCCGTGTAACTCTTCTGGCTTTTCTCTTCCTGACTCACGTTGTCATCCACTCTAGAGTTCTTCCTGGAATTCTCGTCCTCCTGCTCCCCCTCCTCATCCTAATTCACCTCCTCCTCCTCCTCACCCTCCTCGTTATCATTACCATCATCAGCATCATCATCATCATCATCATCATCAGCATCATCATCATCATCATCATCATAATCATCATACTTATAATCATCATCATAATCAGCATCATCATGATCTTCATCAACATCAGCATCAGCATCATCAGCATCATCATCATTACCATTATCATCATCATCAGCATCATTATCAACAACATCAACATCAACATCACCATCATCATCATCATCATCGTCATCATCATCGTCATCATCGTCGTCGTCATCATCATCATCATCATCATCATCATCATCATCATCATCATCATCATCATCATCATCATCATCATCATCATCATCATCATCATCATCATCATCATCATCATCATCATCCTCGTCATCATTATCATAATCATGATTTCCCCTTCACGTCCTCCTATTCCTTCTGCTCCTCTTCCCTCCTCCAGGTAGAGTGGCCCCAAGGTTTTTCACGGCTTTCTGGCACCCGTGGCCCGTTTGATCGGCCTTGGAGCAGACGTTGCGGAGGCGCGAGCGCGACCGCGAGGGCGGAGGACGAGAGGGGGACGGGGAGGAGGGCACGGGGGGAGAGGATGCCGAGGGTGGACGAGGGGAAGGCGAGGATGGAGGGAGGAGACGAGTGGATGACAAGCGTGCCAGGTGCGCCCGCGCCACGTCTCACGTGTTATCCCTCCCACCCATACCTTCCGCCGACTGGGGTGCCTTGGATGACCTTGGTCCCCAAATTGCATGTGTAAGCTTTGGCCCATGGTTTGCTGCGCAATCTGAAAGAGGACCTTTGGTTATTGGGCGAGGACGAGGAGACGGATGAGCGGGAGGAGGAGGAGGGAGGAGGAGGGAGGAGGAGGAGGAGGAGGAGGAGGAGGAGGAGGAGGAGGAGGAGGAGAGGAGGAGGAGGAGGGAGGAGGAGGAGGAGGAAGAGGGAGGAGGAGGGGGAGGAGACGGATGAGCGGGAGGAGGAGGAGGAGGAGGAGGAGGAGGAGGAGGAGGAGGAGGAGGAAGGATGAGCAAGATTAGGAAGACTAGTATGGGTAGGGGGCCAGGGGAAGGCGGAGGAGAGGAACGGAGGATGACGCCAACGACGACGACGGATCCGGATCCACAAGTGTGGCCCACGCTGTAGCCAGAGAGCTGCTCTGCACAACGGGGGAAACTCACCGATCCGGAGAGATGGCCAACGCTGCAGCGGAACGCCACACCCACATACCCACATACATATATACCACACATACCCACACATACCCACATACCCACATACGCTGAGCACCACACATACCCACATACCCATATATATATGTTTATACACATATATACACATATCAATACACGTGTATATATGCAAGCATATATATAGATATACAATGCTCCGATTGACACAAGCATACAGGAGCGAGGGAAGGAAACAGACGGGACCGTTTGCGCCGACACTGGCCCGTAAGCTTTTTCCGTGCGGTCGCACACACAGGTGCCCTCGATTCCGATGCAGCGTGTCGCGTCGGCGCCACCGGGTAAAGTCGCTATTCCAACTTGCGTAAGACCCCTGTCTGTGCGTATACACGTGTATATGCCTTTGTGGGCCCTGGAAACGGCAGGGCCGTTTTTTCACCGTTTCCCAAAAAATGTCCCTTGAAAATGGAAACGGCAAAAAAACGGCGAACGGAAACGGCAAAAAAACGGCTCCAGGATTGGAACTGGAGCCGGAACCGGTCAAAAAACGGCGACGGAACCGATAAAAAAACGGCGTCGGAACCGGCAAAAAAGCGGCAAGACGGAACCAGTAAAAAAACGGCCCTGTCGTTTCCAGGGCCCACTAAGGTATATGCATGTGTGTACGTGCAAGATTTCAACTGGCCGAAGTCAAGCCTTACGCGAGAGAGGTGGGCACACCGCTGGACATCTTCAGGGGGTGGAGAGACCGGTGCTCATATGGGGTCAGGGTGGAGGAGTGGTACGAGAAGGGGCCAGGAGGAGGGGCAAGGAGGAGGAGGAGGAGGGGAAAGAAAAGGAGGAGGAGGAGAAGGATGAGGAGGAGGATGAGGAGGAGGAGAAGGAGGAGGAAGATGATAATGATGATGAGGAGGAGGATAAGGAGGGCAAGGAGAAGCAGGATTTGGAGGGGGAGGATGAGGAGGGAGGCTGGAGTAGCTGGAGTCGGTGTCGGAGGAGGAGGAGGAGGACGAGGACGAGGAGGAGGGGGGAAGAGGAATGATGAGGAGCAATGATGAAGGAGGACGAGGAGGACGAGGAGGAAGGCAAAGGACGCGGAAGGATGAAGGAGGACGGAGGAGGGAGGAATGGGGAGGGTGAGGAGGAGTTAGGCATGAGGATCGAATTGGAGGAGTAGCAGGAGGAGCATGAGGAGGGATAATGAGGATGCAGGAGGAAGATGAGGATGCTGCTGCTGCTGATGATGATGATGCTGATGACAAGCAGGATGACGAGGAGGAGGCGGAGGAGGAAAAATAAGAAACTGAAGATGCTGATGATGATGTGGCTGCTGATTCTCATGATGATGAGGAGGAAGAGGAGGAGGAGGAGAAACAGCAGGAGGAGGAGGTTGAGGATGAGAAGGGAGTGTGGAGGAGTTGGAATCGGAGTCGGAGGAGGAGAAGGATGACGAGGATGACGAGGAGGAAGGAGGAGGAATGATGACGAGCAGTGATGACGGATAAGGAAGGACACGGACGAGGAAAGATGACGGAGGAGGGGGGAGGGAGGAACGAGGAGGACAAGGAGGAGTTAGGTATGATGATCGAAAGGGAGGAATATCAGGAAGAGCATGAGGAGGGAGGATGAGGATGCAGGAGGATGAGGAGGATGAGGAGGAGAAGGAAGATGACCAGTGTAAACCCAAGAGTCATTAACGATGTTGGAATACACCCTCCCTCCAAGCTCCCTCTTCACAGGCCCCTACAAGGGTTCATCTTCACTGAAGGAACGGCTTCGTTGTAAGACAACCGTATGAAGACCCTGATGCATGCCAAAACATTATTCCCGGGATTCCAACGCCACTGATCAACCTGACCGTTGCGTCTTGACGATTCCGAATCGTGCCAGAACGCCGTTCTTTGGGACTTCAACACCGCGACTCAACGTAACTGTTACGCCCTCATAAATCAGAATCCGTCCAAACACCATTTCTGGTACGCTGCTCATGGGAATCCGTGGAACTCTTGCAATTTGTAAAACGAATATGCGCGGCGCTGAGGCAAGAGCCACACGTTGAAAAAGAACCACCTTCAACCCGTGGAACTCTT